CTCCTGAACTCGCGTTGAGTGGAGCCAATGCAATTGAAAGACAAAAATAGAGGGTATTAGTCTCTCTGGAAATATCTTCATCTGTTTACATTGCGTGGCTGCAAAACAAAAAATGCCATAAATCAGCCCCTGGTATAACATTTTTGGGTATTAGGTCATCTCCGTTGAATTCATGACTACTACCGAGACGAATTAAATTTCAGAGCTGACTTGGGCATCTTGGCATCTCAAGTCAAGGTGTCAGAATTTTATAATCGAAGAGGAAAAAGTTAAATACTTGGTAACTGTGGCACATTGGCGTGGAATCCGATATGCTTCCAGGCATCGGGACACGTGTTCGTAGTGGATCGGTGAAGCCGCAACACAACACCTTCTCGAACAGGTTCAAGTGCAACAATTGTATGGAATCTTTGCTGTGATGGAGATGTGGATATTTCTTTTTAAAATGCGATTTGCTAAGGATGGGTTGGGAGAAAGGCGGAGGAAGACTGAGAGGAAGAGAGACGGAGGATGGAGTGACAGAGAGAGAAGGGGGGAGGGAGGGAGCGGTTTTTTGGAGGAGTGACAGAAAGCGAGGGACGGGGAAAGAGATTGGGTGGAAGAAAGAGAGAGAGAGGAAGGGAGAAAGGTGTGAGGAGAGTGAGAGAGAGAGGAGAGATAGAGAGAGTTGGAGGAGAAGAGAGGGCGGGAGATCTAGACAGACACAGTGAGTATTCCAGTGGAGACATCAAAGGATTCCAAGGTCGGAGTCGAAACAACGCTGAATCGCATCAAGTTTGGGTTCATTTAACGCTCCTACCTCATTTTTCGATCTTGGGACGATATTTAAAATTGACTAAACTATCAAGAATCTCTCCTGCTTCGATGTTGGAACAAAGAGGGGGTCGGCCATAGTTTAGTGTCATGAGTTATTTCGAAGGAATTGGAGAAAGTCGCTTGTTAAGTGATACTCTGTCAATGCGATATTCCATGTCCTTAATTATCATTTCAAAATAGTGGGTTAACTTCAGTGCCACCTACAAAATGCAAATTCACTAACCGTTGGCTTACCGAGTCAAGCTAACCACTGCTCTCCATGATGTGTAAAAGCAGCTACAGATTCGGACATGAACTTTGGCATGGTGCCAGGCTGTTGACAGTCGCAATCAGGCTGCTGTTATAAGGAAGATTTGAACATATTCCCACAGCAGTCGTTCCCTGTAATAACGTTCCTCTTCAGACAGCGTAAGGATCTTCCATTACGCCCCGTCCTTATCAAATACTCCTTCCGGATGGGGGCTATCATCTTTATACTTGCATATTTCCCTCAATATCCCTGCTGACAATAAAAACGTACCTGTTATGACCAGCAATCTATCAGCAAGTATTGACTCCGCGCAAAAGATCACATCGACATACCCCATGGCAATGCACTATATTCTAATGATAAGGCAAATGCCTGCCGCAGCTCGATTGTAAGTCCTTGACCTTGAACTGCGAACATTAAACTGGTATTCCTTCAAAGGTATTGGCTTTCTTTTATAAAGGAATTTCTGAACTTTATATATCTTAAAAATTCAGCGACACTGAAATGAGTAGTTTCATTCTTCAATACGAGTTGTTCACGACAGAATCCTTACCTTTAGATAGTTCAAAGTTGTTGTCTCTCTGTGGTTTCTCCAAATATGAGTTGTTTCCAGTTAGGCTTTTGGAACAAGGGATTTGCAGAATTTACAAACATTAAGACATTGTAAAGAATGTTATAAAATATGAGAACTAGATATTGTTCATTTCACTATTTGCATGTATTGTTGAGATTTGGGGAAGGCGTTTTCTTAATACTAAAACACAAGAACGCCTTTGGCACAAGGCTTTTATCATAACTATACGCATGTATTTGATCATGTCAAAGTCTAAAGGTTGCAGGGCTGGTGAGGTAGCCTAGTGGTTAAATTGCTCGCTCATCACGCCAAAGACCCGTGTTCGATTTACAATGTGTGTTTCTCATTTCTGGTTTCCCCTGCCATGATATTGTTGGAATATTGCTAAAAGCAGTGTTAAATTTAAACTCACTCACTTGCACGAGTAAGAAAGAAACCAGGATAACTGATAATTATAATTCATACAAATATTCTAAAGTGTTCATCAACTTCAAAATGTGACATGTATAACGGTCTAACCTGACCCTACCACAAAATAGTCTTACTAGATTCTGAATCAAATGACACGTGAAGATCCGGGTTAGAATTGATCTTCAGTAACCCATGCTTGTCGTAAGAGGCGACTAACGGGATCGGGTGGTCAGGCTCGCTGACTTGGTTGACACATGTCATCGGTTCCCAAATGTGTAGATCGATTCTCATGCAGTTGATCACTGGATTGTCTGGTCCAGACTCGATTATTTACAGACCGCCGCCATTTAGCTGGAATATTACTAAGTGCAGCGTAAAACTAAACTCACTCTGGATCAAATAGGATGCATTAAACACCGAGGATAGATACCGGGTTGTTGAGGGTGAAGGTCATCACTTATTGCATTAAAGATTCAAGGATCCCAAAGAGAAACATTGTTTTGCCCTACATTGATAATAACATGTGAATAAACGTGGCAACGCGAAGCAGCATCAGCTTATGTGCAAACAACGGGACAGGTGAATCGATTGTCTTCTCGCTCTATACAAATATATTCATCTTGTAGGAGCTCCCTAAGCAGGGCTAGACCGTTTTCCTCTTTCTCTGACGATACTGACAACCCCGCGTTGTATGTTATGGCACACTTGCATGTTATTCACAATTACCACGTGCAGATCGAAGTTATCAGGAGGTGAAATGGGTATTAACGCCGCGACCAAGAATGCGACGTGCATGTGTGTGTGTGTGTGTGTGTGTGAGAGAGAGAGCGCGTTTGTGTGTGTGTGAGAGAGAAAGCGTGTGTGAGAGTGAAAGAGAGCGTGTTTGTGTGTGTGTGTATGAGAGAGGGTGTGTGAGTGAGCGTATTTGTGTGTGAGAGAGAGAGTGTGTGTATGTGAGAGTGTGTGTGTGTATGTGTGTGAGTGTGTGTGCATGTCCGTACGTATTTGTACGTGTGTGTTTGTACGTGAGAGACAGAGAGAGAGAGAGTTAGGATAATTGAGGAGGTACGGGTCTTTGTACTAGTCCGGACAATGATGCTGTTTTTACATGGATGCCGTACTCGGACTGGGAACCGTGTCCTTGTTTCATGGCCTCAATATCTACCCCGGGCAGGTTGACAACAAGTGTATGACGCGATGATCAGGCCTCGAATCTGTCATTGTCCGGACAGAAGCAGTACTACAAGGCCAATATGTCTGTGTTGTTTACTCGAAGTCAGTTCGAACTCGTGAATATCAAGGGCCAATATATCACCAAATATCAAATTAAAGTCATAACCAGATTTCACAAACACATGGACCCTGGTACAAAAAACTGGTACCCAAACAACTGTAGTATGGTACCGACAAATATGTGCCTTGGTACCAAAGCCTTGTACTCTGGAAGCACCTCATCGTATCCTGCAATGACCGGAAGTGTATATGCATAAAAACTACCCACCACAAATTCGTTATTCTCCTGTCAGCAAGGTACACAGATGCATATTCGAAGTCAACTTAATACCAAAGTAAACCTTTTGGACAGAGACGATTGTTGAGCCAGACATGAGAATGTAAGACAGAGACAATGCTTCTCCGCCATGCGGACATTATTGGTGCTAACCTCAAATCTTCACTTATCCGTATTCGGTCCAGTCACTATGATTGCCGAGAGCGAATACGGTTTCAAAACAACTCGAGCTTAGAACCAGACTAGGCGCTGGGCCCATTTTCTTCATGCCCCTTGCCCAAAGCAGCAAGTGCTCGGCCGTTTACGGAAGTCATTCCATGCCTCTGCCAATGACGAGACGAAACACTATAGAGAACTGGCTCGTACGCGTGTTACGCACATTCTGACATTTCCAAAGGAATGGCGAGTGGCACTGTTGCCAAAACGTTTTCACTGAGTTAGTATGGCTATGTTTACATCAATCAGATGAGTATTGACTGGAGGCTTCCAGATCGATAGTCCTGCATAAATCCTATCCTTGGCGCTCTTACGACTAAATAATCCATTTCTCCACCTTGGTCACCACGGGGATCTGGTCTCTGACGTCATTGTTCGCCGTACTGACATTTTACAAATAGCCCTCCACTGTTTTTAAATGCATGTTTCCTAAAATACGACATCAAAGATTACAGTGATCTATAAAGAGACAACCTGAACTTGTTTTTCGGTTTTGTAGTATAATTATCGTGTTATGGAATCTAAACACTCGCCTACACTCACTGCACGGCGGTGCTTTTCGGACACGTAATTGCTTCCGCTTTTAGAATTACCCGTACGAGACTATTTTCCGGAAAACTAACAACTATTTCGAAGTGAATATTGGGTTTGCTTAATCGTATCTCAAAAGATAATTCCGTTGTATGAGGCAACACTTGTAGTTTGGATTTTGGTCGTATCAAATAGATTTAGTTAACTGTAATAGTTATTGCTTCCCCGGGTTTTTTTTCACAATTGGAAATAATGCCTACGGTTAAGGAGCTTGATTGTGTTAATAATGTAATACGGAATACCTATAAAACTTTTAGAATACTGTACAATACAAACCATACATTAAGGAAATAGCCAGGCCACACCAGACATACTGCCGTAACCTTCATTCGGAAGTGTAGCGACATAGTTACGTACAGAACGTATGTTCAGCATAAGGTTAAAAATAGCATTGTAACAGCCATTTAATTTTCACTAGAACAATTTCCCGATATATACGGGCATCATTTATTACGTGATGTGAAATGTAATTATTGCCTGTTCAAATGTCGACATCACAAGGGTATCGTTTTCTGTTGTTTTTTTTCTCAATAAGCTGAAAAATCAGCTACCCAAGGAAAGATAACCCTTCTCCTGAAACATTGACAAACCCAACATGAATTGAACTGACATGAATTTAAAAATATCAAACAAATTCTAAACTTTTTTATTGGTGGACTATACAGGTATACCCTGTGTTCGTGGCCTTGAGGGATGAAGATTCTGGTAACTGATTGACTTATTAAATGATAGCGTGGAGGTGACATCTCATTCAACTTTTTGCTCTCGCTGCTGGTCTGTGCCTGTGTGTGATTCTACGTAGACAGATCTTGAACTGCTGTCTGGACAGAACAGTGACGATCTCGTTAATTTGCCACCGCATGGAGTGTTCCGAGTAGGGACCTGAATAATATGTCACAAAGCTTCCTATAAATAGACATACATACATATGGTTACACACAGAACAACACAAACCTACATATGGTTACACACAGAACAACACAAACCTACATATGGTTACACACAGAACAGCACAAACCCACATTTGATGACACCGAACAACACAAACCTACATAAGGTGACACAAAGAATAACGCAAACCTACATATGGTGACAAAGAGAACAACACAAACCTACATATGGATTACACACAGAACACAAACCTACATATGATGACACACAGAACAACACAAACCTACATATGGTGACACACAGAACAAAAAAAACCTACATATGGTGACAAACAGAACAACACAAACCTACAAATAGTGACACACAGAACAGAACAACACAAACCTACACAGAACAACACAAACTACATATGGTGACAAACAGAACAACACAAACCTACATATGGTGACACACAGAACAACACAAACCTACATATGGTGACACACAGAACAACACAAACCTACATATGGTGACACACAGAACAACACAAACCTACATATGGTGACACACAGAACAACACAAACCTACATATGGTGACACACAGAACAACACAACCTACAAACCTACATATATGTGACACACAGAACAACACACAAACCTACATATGGTGACACACATATGGTGAACAACACAAACCTACATATGGTGACACACAGAACAACACAAACCTACATATGGTGACACACAGAACAACACAAACCTACATATGGTGACACACAGAACAACACAAACCTACATATGGTGACACACAGAACAACACAAACCTACATATGGTGACACACAGAACAACCACAAACCTACATATGGTGACACACAGAACAACACAAACCTACATATGGTGACACACAGAACAACACAAACCTACATATGGTGACACACAGAACAACACAAACCTACATAACAAAACCTACATATGGTGAACCTACAAACCTACATATGGTGACACACAGAACAACACAAACCTACATATGGTGACACACAGAACAACACAAACCTACATATGGTGACACACAGAACAACACAAAACCTACATATGGTGACACACAGAACAACACAAACCTACATATGGTGACACACAGAACAAAACATATGGTGACAAAACAACACAAACCTACATATGGTGACACACAGAACAACACAAACCTACATATGGTGACACACAGAACAAACCTACATATGGTGACACAAACCTACATATGGTGACACACAGAACAACACAAACCTACATATGGTGACACACAGAACAACACAAACCTACATATGGTGACACACAGAACAACACAAACCTACATATGGTGAAACACAGAACAACACAAACCTACATATGGTGACACACAGAACAACACAAACCTACAAATGGTGACACACAGAACAACACACAGAACAACAACACAAACCTACATATGGTGACACACAGAACAACACAAACCTACACAACACAAACCTACATATGGTGAACAACACAAACCTACATATGGTGACACACAGAACAACACAAACCTACATATGGTGACAAACAGAACAACACAAACCTACATATGGTGGCACAAAGAACAAACGAAACCTACATATGGTGACACACAGAAGAGCACAAGAAAATTCAGTCACCATGCACACTGAAGCGAGTGTGTCCAAATATTCCAAAGCAAGTCTATATTACTTCAGTTTTGGATTTAACAGAACATTTATTGATACAATATGTTCGATTGAGATTCATTGTGAGTCTACATTAAACTCTCCATTTCATTAGTAAACTCGACAGTAAGTTCATCCGACGAACACAATTACGAGTTTACATTATCGTTTCAAGACCCGGGTTGAACCCGATAAAGGACCATGGAAGCCAAATTTAATATGGAAATCTATATATATCGTAGATTAAATTTATCTTTACATCAAATTATATCTTTAGGAGTTATCGCGGAAATGAAGGGACCATTCATGAATTCTGAGCTGAAAGGGAAGTTATTATCTCTCTTAATACCCTGAAACATTTAATTATTCCAACAGAAAACATGCTCAGCTTAGTAAACAGCTAGGTGTATTTATCATCTACACCAGACAATGAGACCTGCCGTGGAATCAAAAATGCCTTTGACGTCAGAAAGACAAATTAACTATACATTCTGTATAGAAAGCAAACAAGCAAGATAAATATCCCCAACCCGTCACCAGAAACTAGAGGTGCTTTGTTTGACGTCCGCTTTATGAAATTGAGTATTCATGTTGAATCATGTTTGCTGATTAGTGAGAGACAACCTAATCAAGGCTATGTCAAAACTATCTGTCATGAACTGAAGCACGTCACGTACAGACCTGTCACTGATGTCACGGAAGCTTTTGGTGGTATAGCGACATTTGTAGTGAACAAAGTATCAATTAAATATTTTATATACAACTACTTACACGTCAACAAATTAGATTTGACGACTAAACTTAAAATTAACTACTGAAATCCGAGATTAATTTTTCGCTTTATCACTTATATTGATTGGGGCTTTATACCGCAATTAGTCACGTTACTTTCCAACAAACCCAACATGTTCACCAAACTTATGTTTTTCTGTGTAAAACTTGAGGAAAAAATATAAAATTGTCGTTATAGCAACTCTGGTATCGTTACATGCTCTTAAGGATGCGAGATACTGTGAACAAAATGTAAACAGGCAGTGGTTACCGAGTCTCATGTTACATTTGAATGACAAGCTCGTTTGTTGATCAATCACATAATGTAAGTGTCTCCGCTAAATATTTTTAAAACTATGAAGGCAGCGAGAAAGCATGTTCGACCATATATTATAGAAAAACCTATGCTTCAATCAAGCTGTTTGATCAGGATTAACTGTGTGCTGTCCGTTAGATCTTGTAACTGACGATCTTGGTCTCATTAAAAACATCCCTGATCTTTGTGTACTGACGTTCTTTTACACAACGTGACTCGATCGTCAGGTTGAAACAGGTGTTTCTCAAAGTGTATCTGGACCCACAATCGGTAGCTGACCAGATGACCTACTTGCTCATTTAGTTCATTTGTACAGTTAGCTGCTTAACTAAAATTGGACTAAGGTACAGAGAGTTCATCCTCTTCATGTAGTAGTGAGTGAGTATGGTTTTACGCCGCTTTTAGCAATATTCCAGCAACATCACGGCGGGGGACACAGAAAATGGGCTTCACATTTTGTACCCAAGTGGGGAATCGAACCCGGGTCTTCGGCGTGACGAGCCAACGCTTTAACGACTGGGCTACCCCACAGCCCCCTCTTCTTGTAGTAGTTACATCAGCGCCATATTGACAATATGTTTACATACACGTCTTTGATGCAGATTCGTCGACAGGAATGCACCCATGCCCGCGGGTTGTTTTACATTATTCCGTTTTCGCCGTGAGTGCGGTTCTTTGGGTGAGCGTCTGCCCTGAGTGCCGATTGTAGCTGGTTCGATCTCCAGGTCGCGTCGAACCAAAGGGACTTGTTGTCACCCTGCCTGGCGCGCGGTATTAACGGAATAAAACAAAGACTGGCGGAATTAGAATAATATGTCTGTGTGGGATATCCATGTTATATATGGTATCTCGGTAGACCAGAATTATAAAACAGGAATAACTCAAGGCGAGTAAACGCAGCGGCCCACGCGCGGTCATGCTCGCTATATAAGGTCTATAAATGCGACATTAACACGGCAATAGCGCGAAATTAACGCGGCATAAAACCCCATTTGACCGCCTTACAACCGTTTTCGATGAAAATTGGGGATAGGGAGGAATTCAGTTTTGTGCTTCACAGAAACGGAACCATTAAGTGAGTGAATTTGGTTTATCGCCGCTTTGAAAAGTATGCCAATTATTTCGAGATTTTTTCCTGTTTCGTTTCCGTGGCAGAATTGACCGCGACACATTTTTAGTGTTGTAGGGTTTACTAATACAGTTGGATCGCCACAATGTCTATTGGTACTGGGGCGGTGGGGTAGCCTAGTGGTTAAAGCGTTCGCTCGTCGCGCCGAAGATCCGGGTTCGATTCCCCACACGGGTACAATGTGAAGCCCATTTTTGGTGTTCCCCGTCGGGATATTGCTGGAATATTGCTAAAAGCAACTTAAAACTAAACTCACTCACTCACTATATCGGTGCTCCTTCTGTCTACCATCGGTTTGCAAATTTACAGACGGATGTAATGTAGCCCGGATGTTGCCGAGTGATGTACACAACTTACATTAAACCACATAATTATATGTCAACATTGCTTACGAATGTTCATGTTTCCCTGGCAAATACGTCTGAACACTTGGAACTTGTTCACTTATTAATATTTTAAATGAAGATATGTTTAGCTATATCAAAATGCTTTGGAAGTGTATAATGATGTAATTTCATATATAATGGGCGTGTGAAAGACGGAGCAGCCCTTACATGGCTGGTGAAACATGGAAGCGGTGATGACGTCATAGGCATCACACACAAACGAGATCCTATTCCCGAGATATGAATACTCATTTTTAAACATTTTGTTCCGATTGCATTAAATCTCCGCCCGTTTTCATTTTGTATTCTTTCTATTTTTGTTAGCCGATGTTCTTGACACCCATCGTCTCTTGTCATCTATTATGTCTTGTTTCTGAATGTCACCTGATTTTAGCGCAGCTTAGTCAAGGAACCATGCAGACTATTTGGTAATGGAGTGATAAGGCGTTTATCGGTTAATCATATGAAAAGTTAAATATCTGCGTCACAGATCTAGAGTGTTTCAGTTTTCAAATCGAGAACGATCCAGTAACGACCAAGAGCAGGTGTTATCGTCCAGCATTTGTCAATATGAGAAATGCGTCAGTTCATGCGGGAGATGTATTTTACTGCCACGTGTGGACAATGGCGGCGGGATGTGCATTTGACGAACACCCGCGGGAGAGTAGGATTAATTTGCCTTTAAAGCTTATACAAGGTCAAAAGATTAGACAGG